GCGTATATAGGTGATAGAGGGCTCTTGAGGTCAAGTTCCTTGAAGAAAAGATTAAAGAAAAAAGAATGTGATGATATTGGAAATGTTTATCAACCCTAACATTTTAGAGTTCTTTCCTTGCTCTTGAATCATCCACTTGTCACTAGATAAGCTTCTGACATTTTAAAAAATAGAAGTGAGACAGGGATAGTTAGCAACTGGAAATTATTCCATTTTACACTGTTAAATTTTTAAAATGTATTTTTCATATACATTTTTGATGTTCCAAAAAATAATTAAGATGATATTTAACAATATTTAAAAAAAATATGCTCTCCATTTTCATCATTCTTTATAGTTATATTATTTTAATTATTCATGGGAAATAACTACATCAGTTAAATATTCCCATCTGCATTTCCTTCTTTATGAAGGGCTTGTTAGCCTTTGTAATCAGAACATGACTATTTGTTAGTAAATTATACACAGTACAAAGTTGAATTCTATACATTTTTGTTGGGAGCAAGCCGAGAGGAATTTGGACATTCAGTGGAATGATTTAATTAAATGTCCTTTTCTGTGAATATATTTGCATTTATTTGATTGATAATTAGATTTAGAAAATAGTAAAAAGTACTTTCAAATATCATACTCCTCCATCCAAAAACTGTCGCTGCTAAACATGAGTTCATTGTCAAATCCATATATCCCTTGAACAGGCATCGATTTATTCAGTAAATATTGGTTAAACACTTTCTTTGGGCCAAGCACTGTTTTAAATGTTGGAGATACAGGAGTGAAAATACCCAAAGCCCTGATTTTGTGAAACTGGAATAATAGGGGTAGGCCAAATAATAACCAAAATGAAAAAAAAGGAAAATAAGCAGTATGTTAAATAGTGATAAGTGTTAGCAAAGAAGTAGAACAGGAAAGAGTAATAGAGGATACTGGCAGATTTTGCAATTTTACACAGGTAAAGGGCCCCAAGGAAAAAGTGACAGGTAAGTAAAGACCTAAAGGAAGACACTGACTAGTTCTGAGTAGGGAATGATATTATCTGACATGATTTTAACAGGCTAGTTCTGGTTGCTATGTAGAGAATATATTGAATGTGCTAAGGACAGAGCAGAGGAAAGATTTAGGAGTGCGGGCATTAGAGGTGTTGAAAATTTGTCAGTCTGGATATATTTGAAAGTATCAAAGAAGATGCATTGTATGTGGGCTGTGAGATTAAGAGATGAGTCATGATGCCTCTAAGTGTTTGGTTTGAGCTATTTGAAAGATGTAGTTGCTACTTGTTGATTTGGAAAACTGTGGAAAATTTTTTTGGGAAGACCAAGCGCTCAGTTTTAGATACACCAAGTTTGAAATGCCTAGTAAACATCCAAGTAGATGGATAGATAGATGGATGAATACACAGATACATAGATAAATACACAGATAGATACATACATAGATAAATGGATTTGTATTTCAGGGGAAAAGAATAAGCTGTAGTTTTATGTTTATGAGTCATCAATATGCAGATGATATTTAAAGCTATAGGACTCAATAAAGTAAATGACTAAAGATGTGGAAAAGTCCTGATGACTGAGTTGGTGACAGTCCACACTAATAAGTCAGATAATGAAGAAGCAGCAGGAGAAAAGGGAGAAGCCAATGATGTGGGTTTTTTAAAAATGTGTGTGTTATTCTGGAACTCAAAGAGCAAACATGTTTTCAGGAGAAGGATGTGCTTAGCAGTGGCAGATGTTGCCCATATACTAAATAAGTGAAGCATGAGAACCGACCTTTGGATTTAGCAAGGTATTTATTACTGCCTCACTGGTGACCTCAGCAAGTTCATATTCTGAGAAGTGATAGAGGCAAATGCCTGAATACAGTGGGTTCAGTATAGAATGAGAAGAGGAAAATGTGTACAGACAACATGAACACAATGAAAGTAAGGAGAGAAATGGGATAGAAGCTGGAGGAGATAATGAAGGCAGTAGAAGGATTTGTGGTTCTTTGGGGTGTGTGTTTGTGTGTGTGTGTCAGTAAAAGAACATGATTCAATATGTTTTCTTTAATCCAAGGAATTCATTTAATGTTTTTGTCTTATGAATATCTTGAGTAAATACTTTGTCCATTCTGAAGTTAAAGTTATAATATCTAGATGCAAACAAAATTTCTGAGATCAGCATATATTACTAAAATACATACATCCTACTCATATTTGAAAATTCATATCTAACATAAGCATTATACCAGATCATGTCAATAGGCAATTGTCAAGAAGTCAAATTTACAGACTGTGCCAGTATCACGAGTTTCATCACTTATTTTTTCTTGGATTTGTATGCAGATTAAAGTTCTCTTTCCAAGTGATTATTAAATTAAAAAAATTAGTTTCCCTATTATGTTCAAGACACTATGCTAAATGTGTTACATATCTTACTCTTCACTATAGGCTTACAAAATAGATTTTATTAATCTATGTTCTAAATAAGAGTCCTGGGGATCAGCAATTCAGTGACTTTCCCAAGCCTTTGATAAATATGACTGATGTAGCAGGGATTCAGTCCAGGTATACTTAGTTCCAAAATATATGACCTTCAACCTTGACTACTTTATAACATTATAGTTACTGAAAGACAGGGACTAAGTTATAATCAACACTTCTTTTGTATACTGGGTAGAACCAAGTCTAATGAGAGGCAATTAACATGACCTTACTCTTAATATAGCTGTTAATTTGTCCAAGAAAAAAACAATATATTGGACAACAAACAAAATGTTTCTCATGTTTACAATCATTAAGCAAAAAAAAAGTAAACTAATCCAGATTATTTTTTCTTTTAAATGTCTTGCCATTATTATGAGACATTATTAATGAGACAGTTTTAAATTACAAAGCTAAAACAAGACAAAACAAAATTTGTGCCGCTGACAAGTCAGAGATTTGGATGCAGTAAGTTGCACATCAGATGGTGTTGATTGTGCAATAAAGGCTGTGAGGAATCCAAAATTAATCCTCTAGCTAGTCTACTGAGTTTCCCTAAAGGTTTGCCACTGGAGATGCAATTACCAGGACTCTTACAGTTCAAGTGTAACCAAATCCTTACCTCGAAAGAATGATGGCTTTCTGCATGCTTAAATTTTGTGCAGTTTAATTAATACCTAAAAATGTAAAGCTCCATGTCTTAGCTTCAAATAAAATCTCAAAAACAGAAATGTTAAATGTGCTAGGAAAATAATTAGTAGCCCAACATTCTCTCATTACTTTAAAGTAGATTTTGTGTCAACATTTAGACACATATCAGAAAAGACACAACCAGCCTCATTTTAGAATTTTGGTCTTTGTAAATCCTTGACCAGTATAATATCTATTCCACTTATTGTTTTATTCCCCTTCATTTCATTGTATTTTCCTTCTAAGTTTTAAATTTTCAGTAGTGAGAAACTGCAAACATCAACAACCTCTGGATGATAATTTTATTTTTAAAATTCTATGGATGTAGAAAAAAAACTTATGGTTACCAGGGGATAAGGGGGGGAGGGATAAATTGGGAGATTGGGATTGACATATACACACTACTATTTATAAAATAGGTAACTAATAAGAACCTGCCTTGTAGCACAGGGAACTCTATTCAATACTCTGTAATGGCCTATATGGGAAAAGAATCTAAATAAAAAAGAGTGGATATATGTATAACTGATTTACATTGCTGTACACCTGAAACTAACACAACATTGTAAATCAACTATACTTCAATAAAAAAAATGTCTTATTCCTGTATGATATAAAAAATACATTTTACTGAGATACTTAAATGGTAACATGCCTGAAGTTTGTAATTTAAAGGTCTATTATACATAATTCATATTTATCATTTATACATGGCCCCAGTGGTACTATAGAAAAGAATATGATTTACAGTTGCAAAGAAATGGTTTTGAATTTCATATTTTCCACATATGAACTACATGAACTTGTAAAAGGTCTGTATTTTTCATTTCCATATGTAAATAAAAGTTAATATTACACGAGTAATAGGCTGGTCATAGTGTTATAATTACTAAATAAGAAAGTATTATTCTTGGCAATTAAAAGCAAGTAAACAATTTCTTCTCTTTTCCTCTTATCTAGAAACACAGCTAGAGCATAGATAAATGGAATCAGTGATTGAATTTTAATTTTAGAACAACAGAAAAAAACTTATTCAACCTGTCTGTAAAGCAAAATAAAGATATGTCTTATTAAAAATGTCAATCTTTCTCATAATAAATTGAAATACTAATGTTTTTTCAAACTTTAGGAAAACTGAAAATGACTGGACTATTGTACATACACATGTATATCTACAATACACACATATATTTGTTTTTTTTAATTTTGTAACCTAGGAAGTATATATCTTATCTTTCCTTAGTGAAACATTGATATGTGATATGAATACAGAGGAATAGCATATTAAGCAAGACTTTTTTTTTAGGAACTTAAACATTGTAGTTTTGAAATGAGTTAACTTTTTATAAAAAGTGAAATGGTTATATTTCAAGACAGTTAAAGCAATTATAAATAATTTTCAAATGACTAGATTTTATCACATATGCTAAATATTACTTTTAATAACTTTGGGGCCTTTTGCTTGCTGTTTTCTACAAACACTATTAAGACTCTGAAAATTTGAATATGCAAGGAAGTGCATGAATAGAAAGACATTTCGTCATGTAGGCTGAGAAGGTGAGCACTAAAATTTTACCTCCTGCCAATGGCCAATGTTAGGAGGAAAACCAAAACCTAGTAATTATTAGTTACCATTTAAATTGAGTATGAAAATTCAGTGAATATTTTCTACTGAAACAAAGTATATAAAGTATACTTTAAAGTATATTATAAAGTATCCATCCCACTCATCTTAAAAGTAATATTAAAATCCAGAGATACATTTTGGTATTGTCTTATCAGCATTAAGCAAGTGATCAGTAATCTTTGGGACAAAAAAGAGAATTTTAAATAAATAAATGAAACTCACCTTGTCCACAATACATATCTGCTTTCTGGTTTGAGCATCAAGTATTTCAATCTCAAAGTGAGTAGTTTTTGAATGTTTAACTGCTGGAGTTGATTTTAGAGGGCCTGCTGAGAGTATAAATTGCGACAAAGAGTGAAAATTTCTCAGGTCATTCTTCAGTATGGACCGTGTAGCTCCTGGGGAAGTTAATTCTCTCTTGCGTTCTGAAGCAAGGAACTTGTGCCTTTTGAACATTGTGTGAACTACCAGGAGAATCTGTCTTGTCAACAGGAGACACTTGCAAGTGTGTTCCCTTCAAACAAGTTAAATACTGCTGGTGAAACCTGGAAAGGTCAAGTGGCATGCAATTCCAAGAGTTCAGTTTTATTTAGCAGGCTTGAAAACAATGACTGATCTCTTTCTATATATAACACACTATTGTGAATTGCTGCAATGTAGATTACTTGACCAGCATTGGAATTATTTCTAGCTTTCTCCTTTTATCTCTGCTTCTTAATATGGCCAGTAGTATCTGAAATTCCAAAGTAAGATAAGAATAGACAAGAGTTTTATCTCTGAACTCTGGATACACTAATCTTTAAACACATATATTATTATTCACACATTCACATGTAGATGTATTTAAAATTAGCTTATTGCTATCTTATAGTTAGATTTTAAAATACCTAGTACATTATTACATAACAACATTTTTTGGTAAATGCTGCCTAGGATAAAGATTTGTGCCATGTTTTGAATGCACACATATACATCTGATAGAAAACAGACAAGTTCTTCATTCCATACAGGGAGTAGAAAAATGGCAAATCATCTATGAGATTGGAATATATAGAGAGGAACTGTATAATTTAAGGAAAAGGAAGTAAACCTTATTTTAACATTTTTATGCACATTACATCATAAGGAGATCATTAAGTTTATATACAAAATCAGTACTAAACATCACATTTATCACAAAACTAGGTTATGGCAAATTCAAATAATCTCAGAATGAACACTGAAAAGTGATAAACAAACTAGAAAGAAGGGTTTGTGAAAGATTCCAGGTACTCTGAGACCTGTAAATCTGATGAAGGAACAACTGACAAAAATCCAAACTGTAGTGTCACTGATTCAAAGGAATATTACAGGAAAATATTCTGGGATGTTATTTTCAATGAAAACATGAAAAGGGAAATGTCTACAACAGTAGATGGGGAAATCTAAATATCTATCTAACTAATCTTTACTTTTATAATTAAATAAAATAATGTAATTTTAAAAATTTGGACTACACATTATGTGCTGGAGATTCACTTACACATTGTTCAGTTATCATTTTCCTACTCTAGACCACCAGCACACTCAATATTTATTATTAAAATTAGAAGACAGAGATGTATGTGTATATATATTTGCATGTGCACACACACACACACACATACACACACACACACATTCTCAATTTTATCACCCCAGTTGTTCAGGACTTTAAACTTGGGATTACCCTTAACATTTCCCTTTCTCCCACACCTAAGATCTAATCCATCAGAAATCCAGAACACAATCTTGTCACCATCTCCATAGCTAACTTCAAAGCATCAATCTCACCTGTATTGCTTTTCCAAACTGATCTCCCTTTGTCAATATTGTTCAATTTATAGTCTCTTTATAAGGCAGCAGCTCGTGATCAATCCTTATATTAAAACAGGTAATGCAATTATCTGCTTAACGCACTGTTTGGGGATTCGTATTTTATGTAATGAAAAAGCCAAATTTCTCTGAAAACGTCTACAAGGCTCTGCATCATCAGCATTTTTTTTTTTTTTTTGTGGTACGCGGGCCTCTCACTGTTGTGGCCTCTCCCGTTGCGGAGCACAGGCTCTGGACGCGCAGGCTCAGCGGCCATGGCTCATGGGCGCAGCCGCTCCGCAGCAAGTAGGATCTTCCTGGACCGGGGCACGAACCCGTGTCCCCTGCATCGGCAGGTGGACTCTCACCACTGCGCCACCAGGGAAGCCCCATCAGCGTTTTTTAATATCTCTGATCTCATCCTCTAATCTATCCACAGTGCTCAGAACAGTGTCTGGCACACAGCAGGTGCCTAATACATATGTATTAAACAAATAATCAACTAATAAATAATCGATCAATAAATGTATCTTAACGGTGTAGGCAGAATGATGTAAATTAATTGCATGCTGAGGTAAACTACTAGCACATTATAGTAAGGTAACATAACTGTGCAACCCATATAATATAATCTTCAGAGATAGTTTCTATTTAAAAAAAAAAAGAAGAGAATAGTTGAAGGACACAGGTGCCAAACTGCAAGAGCTCCCATTGCCAACACTGGAATAATTCAAGTAAGAACATAAATACTGATGATAATATATTCTAACTCAAAGAACAGTGTAAATATCTGTGAGTCCATACTGTTATAAATAAGTGATTGAATAAATAATAGATAAATAAATTGGGACAAGGGGTGAAATTTCCATATACAAGAATTGCAAATTATATATAAAAATCTCCCCTTGAATGTGGGTGTCATTTAAGTAACACAATGAATGGAAGTGGAAAATAGAAGCTTTATGGTGGAAAAACCTGACAGGCAAACAGCATTTTAACCTAGAGGTCAAGTCTAATATCACCACGAAGAGTCATGCTGATATCATGTACCAACAGATATCATGAGATGAGGGCACTTCACCTCTGGGGTATTCTTCCAAAAGTTTATTACCTCAGTCTAACCATGAGAAAATATCAGACAAACACAAATTGAGGGGTGTTCTACAAAAATACCTAATATTCTCTCAAACTGTCAAGAATATAAAAAATGAGGAAAAATTGAGATACTGTGGCAGATCAAAAGAGACTATGTAAAGACATGAATAAAAATGCAATGTGGTATCCTGATTGTTTTCTGGAAGAGAAAATAAATGAATAGAAAATCCAGTAAAATAAGAATAACATCTGAAGTTTAATTAATAGTATTATACCAATATTAATTTCTGAGTTTTGACCAAGGTTATGCAAGATGTTAAGATAGGGGAAACTGAGTAAAAACTACACAAAAAACTTTCTTTTCAATGTTTTTGTAAAATTATTCTAAAGTAAAAGGTATGAAGTAAACATATACCAACACATGCAAAAAAAAAATGGCATTATTTAAAAGGAGAAAATTGTAGATTTTTGTCTGCTGATCACCTAAGTTAAAAATTTTGGAAGAGAATAAAAAACATTTCAGATATTATGCTATTTATTGTTTCATTTTGTATTTTGAAGTAGCTTTAAAAATAAAATGTTTTATATATGCTAAGGTGTTCTTTTAAGATTATTGCTAAATACATCATAATGAAATTAATACCATGAATTACTATTTGTTTAATACTAGACCTGGCATACCACTTTAAACTAGATTGCAGTTTAAATATATTTATAATAGAAAACTATTATAAAACAATGCAGCATAAAACAGGAATCTTTATTCCAATTGCATTTACTTACAGTAAAATGTGAAGAGGGGGGCTTACAATATCATTTTTCTTTATCCTCATATTTTTCATTTTTTTGACAGAAAGCATATCATTTCAATTTATTTTCCATTTGAAGTGCTACTTCTTATGAGATCATTTAAAATAATTAATAGACATCTTTAGAGCAGTTTTAGTTCAAACAAAAATTGGGCAATTAAAAGTGCGGAGTTTCCATATATTTATTCTCTTCCTTCCCAATACACTATACATCCTATTATTAATATCTTGCATTAATGTGAAACATTTGTTACAATTGATGAACCAATATTGATAGATATTTATGAATTAAAGTCCATACTTTATTTTAGAGTTTAGTCTTGGTGTTTTAGGACTAAACTAAACTAAAGTTCTATGACTTTTGACAAATGGATAAATTCATGTATCCACCATGATAACATCATACAGAATAGTTTCACTGACCTGAGAGTGTCCTGTGCTCTACCTTTTCATCCCTCTCTGCACTGCTCCTGAATTCATGGCAAACACTGATATTTTTACTGTCTTTGTAGTTTTGCCTTTTCCAGAATATCATTATTTGGAATCATACAGTATGTAATGTTTTCAGACTGGCTTCTTTCACTTAACAATATGCATTTAAAATTAGAGGTTTTTTAAAAATCACTGAATAATATCCCATTATGTGAATGTACCACAGTTTACTTATTCATTCATCTATTGAAGGACATCTTCGTTGTTGCCATGAACATTTGTGTTCAGGTTTATGTATGAGTATAATTTCAATTTATTTGGGTAAAGAACTAAGAGTGTGTTTGCTTAATTGAACGGTTGGCCTATGTTTAGCTTTGTATGAAACTGTCAGACTGCCTTCCAAAATGGTTGTACCATTTTGCATTCCTACCAGCAGTGAATGAGAGTTCCTGTTGCACCACATCCTCCACAGTGTTTGATATTATCACTGTTGCTGGAATTTGGCCATTCTAGTAAGTGTGTTGTGGTATCTCATTGTTTAAATATACAATTCTCTAATGAAAAATGATGTAGAGCATCTTTTCTTATGCTTATTTGCCATCTGTACATCTTTGGTGAGGTGTCTGTCCAGATCTCTTGTCCATATTGTAATTGCTTTTTTTTTCCCCTACTCTTGATTTTTGAGAGTTCTCTTTGTATTTTGTATATAAGTCCTTTATCATATATGTGTTTTCCACATCCCTTCTACCTGTTTGTCTTGTTTTCTAATTCTCTTAAGAGTATCTTTTGCAGAGCAAGGGTTTTAAATTTTAATGAATCCAACTTACCACTTTTTCTCATTCATGGACTGTGCTTTTGGTGTGTTGTTTTCTATAAATTGTATTATTTTGCATTTTACATTTATGTCTATGATCCATTTTGAGTTAATGTATGTGAAAGATAAAAGGTCTGTGAATAGATTCATTTTCTTTTTGCATGGGTTTCGAGCTGTCCCAGTACCATTTGTTGGAAAGACTATCCTTTCTCCATTGGCCTGCCTATAATTGCTTGATTATACTTGTGTGGGTCTATTTCTAGGCTGTCTATTCTGTCCACTGATCTATCTGTCTATTCTTTTGCCAACACCACATCATCCTTATTATGGTAACTTCATAATAAGTCTTAATGTCTGGTAATGTTGGCCCTCTGACTTTGTTCTTCTTCTTCAATATTGAGGGTCTTCTGTTTCTTAGGTCAGTTTTTATGATAGATACTCCATGTATTTCCAAAATTTCATTGTGGATTTTCTAACTCATAGTCTCTTAAATTTGAACATCTCCATGTTAACAATGAATATTCTTATAAAATTATAATATTGGGAATTTACAGAATTGATACACCTTTGCTCTGAATCAAT